CAGCACACACGGCGATCGACATGCGCATCGACGCCCCACGATCGGTTCTGCACGTCAGGGCCGCGAGCGCTCGTCCCCACGCAACACCTGCATCGTCGCCCACCTCCATGCGATCCGCCTCCTCACACAGCTTTCCCCAGAACAGGTCAACTCTCACAGGGGGTCGCTGACACCAGAGCCATGAAGGGGAGCCGCCAGGCTGGTTCAGCACGAATGAGACCCGGCCTGGACTCTGCAGCCGGACAGGGAGGCGGGAGCGGGCCAGCGCTCCAGCTCGAGCCCAGCCCTGCCTTTGGCACTGCCCAGACATGCGACATCAGCCTGTCACCGGATCCTTCTAAGAGGGCAACACAAGGCCTACAAGCACAGAAACCACGGCGACAACCAGGCGAGATGCTGTCCCCGTGGGGCGGCACGCTGGTTTTCTCTCGGCAGAGTGCCCGGCGGTCTCCTCCGCAGCATGACTACGTCGACCATACTTAGATTTCCTATTTATTCCAGGTTTTTAGAGAGTTCTTGCTGTTGTTTCTTTTTGTTATAGGGTGTGTGCACTCGCTAGAGAGACAGAGACAGAGAGACAGAAAGCAAGAAATCACCCCCAGGGAGGATGGCCACACCGCGATCCCTTCTGTTCCTGTCTCCCCCTGGGATGTTGGATGCACACAGACTAACCCAATATGAGCATCAAGCCACCAGGTCCGGGGCTCAAACCACGGTCGGCCATGTGGGAGTCCAGTGCCTAACCACTACACCACTTGCTGGCCCACACTATGTGTTTATGATTATTCTTGGTGATAAAGCACAAAGATCCTGAGCCTTGCTGCTAGTTTCTTACTAATAATGCAGACTCCGGTGAACAAAAAAACTCGGAGATGTACCTGGCCTGTCCAGTATGCAGACTGCTACTCACGAGGCTGTTTAAGCCTTTTTTTTTTTTTTCTGAGACAGAGGAAAGAGAGAGAGAGAGTGAGATAGGACTTTTTTTAATTTATGTATTGCTTTTTTTCATGAGAGAGAGAGGGGATTCCCTGACAAGATCTCACTGTGCCACAATCCACCCCCATCCTTCCAGCCGGCCAGGGCAGTGGGTACACCTGCCGGCATGCCTGGCATGTTCAGATAACCCAGGATTTGAACCTGTGGCTTCCCGTATGCCAACAGCATTGCACAGCAGAGCCCTACCCCCATGCCGCTGTGGCTGGGTCCCAGAGACAGGCATTTTTGACAGGGCCTCATTACACTGTGACCCTCCTGCCCTAGCCTCAGTTAGCCAGAACCACAGATACGCAGTGCCGAGTCCGGCCTGCTCTAACTTAGCCCGGGAACCAGACCCGAGCCCCCCAGCGTGGCTCCAGCCTCCCACGGTGCTGGCCTTCCACCTGCACCGCTGCAGCCGGGCCCAAATGTCACCACAGAAATTAGAAATTCGGCTCCTCGGTCACACAGTCACATGTCAAGCGTTCAAATGCCACCTGTGGCCAGTGGCCGCTCTACAGGGGGGCGGGCCCAGGGCTCAGAGGCACCAGGGGCTGCACGTCTAAAGGCGGGGAGAGGGCTCTGCCTATAACCACGTCCGTCTCTGCGCGGTGCCATACGGTGTCTTGAAGCACGCACACAGCGAGGGCTAGAGGTCACAGCTCGTCTTTGCTGTCACAGAGCTCCCATCCACAGCATGGCCCATAAACTGAGCGGGGCCAGCCTCGGGGAAATGGGCAACAGCAGTAAGACATTGTCCACAAACGTTCCCCTAAGTTAGCCTTCGGCAGGGACCGGAGAGGCACGATCCAGGCCGAGGCCAGACGCGGCAACCTCTCGCGACGGGTCAGAACCTTACAGGGAGCGGTGGCCGTCGAGGGAGCTCCGACTCGACCCGCTGCTGGAATCACGTGTGTCCCACGGCCCAGAGATGCCCACAGGGGCGCACACAGGCCAGCACACGAGCAGGGTGTGCACTAGCATGCACGCACACACACCGCATGCTCACACGGCAGCTCCCAATCAAAGACCGGGGTCAGGTCACCCCACGGCCCCACCCCGCCTATCCCCAAGTCCCAGGCCGCCCTGGCTCCACTGCAGCCACCTTTCCCAGATCGGCTCTGCGACGCTGAGACACCTGCTCCACAGGACAGCGTCCTGCCTTTCTGTGTGACCACAGGGACTAAGAAACGAGTGTCTCCAGGAAATCTCTCCCCTCCCATCCCTTTCTCGGCCCCCGAGCCCCTTGTACCCCGCCCCTACTTACTGCACGCCGCACAGGTGAAGCAGGTGTCATGGTAGAGGTTCCCCATGGCCTGGCAGGCCTGGCCAGCCCCAAACACACCTTTGCTGCATTTCACGCAGGCTCCTGCAAGGACAAGGTCACACTGGTGAGCTGGGAGGGGCGAGACAAACTGAGCCACGTGACAGCTGATGACAGGTGAGCCTTGCCTCCCACCTCCAGCCCTCACCCAGGCTCTCCCCGTCCCACCACTATGACGACCCTCAGCCCTCCCATGGCAGAAACCAGCCGTGATGCTGGACTTCAGGCTCACCTCTGTCCCCGATAGCCAGCTGGCGCCCTGTCCTCTCACCAGAGCGGTAGACACCTCTGTCCCCGATAGCTGGCCAGCGACCTGCCCTCTCACCCAGAGTGGTCAACACCTCTGTCCCCGATAGCCAGCCGGCGACCCGGCC